GAATTTGAGCGCTTCAACACTTTATGACCGCTCTAAACAATGCGCAATGTGTGGGTTGTTGTCGTAGTTTGCGTTGTTGCTGTTGAGTTGTTGTTGGTATTGCATTTGAATTGTAGTATCATTATAGAGCAAGCCAGGAAGAAAGATAGGTCGTTCTGGCTCGGGAAACACTTCGAAATGTGGAGAAGAATTATCAGTCATATAAAAACAGTTCAATATTTCAAGGAATAGATAGCCCAGTGGGTAGAGCCGGGGCCCGAATGCGGCGATGTCCTCCGCGCAGCTGGTTCAAAGCCTGGAATGGATGAATTTGAATCATTGCTTTTCAACTTTAATGACTGATAAAAGGCCCTCTCCTCCCAAAAAAATGTCCAGCACTCTCTAGTCTCTTCTCAATAACCCAATACACACAATTATCAATCTTTAATTGCAAATAGAACATGATATTATTCAGTCTTAGTGTGTGTGTGCATCGAATATTTTTCAAGGCAAAGATACGTTAAACCCACTGCAGCCTTGCACTTCGCCAGGAGAGGTCGCTGTAACTGAAGCTTTGAGAAATGAACCTATTTCCGACACAATTGTCCAAGTGGTTCGATGCTTCATTCAAAGCTTCATTTTGCCATCACTAATGGATGGCACAGGATGAACAGACATCACCTTAGCTGGAGCACACATGCTATTCTGAAATGTCTCAGGCTAACTTCCTGTCACATGGGAACTAAAAAGAACTGCTTCATGCAGTACGGGAAGTCACCAGAAGGAGTCACTATAACACACAAAATAACCAGAACAGAACACCAGTGTCTGGACATTGTTCCTTTAAAGTCATCAAGCTCTTTACTTGTGGTCAGCTTTCTTTTTCCATTAGTTTAGCAAACTTTAATACGCATATACTCGTCAGTGACAAGACTAACTACATGCTTGTACCAGTAGATGTTACCAGTGTGTGTGTGTGTGTGTGTGTGTGTGTGTGTGTGTGTGTGTGTGTGTGTGTGTGTGTGTGTTTTTAAATTGGTGTGTGTTGCAGCTGAACAACCTGGACCCGGAGCTGAAGAACCTGTTCGACATGTGCGGCATCTCCGAGGCTCAGCTGAAGGACAGAGAGACATCAAAGGTCATCTACGACTTCATCGAGAAGAAGGGAGGAGTGGAGGCCGTGAAGAACGAGCTGAGGAGGCAGGGTGAGGACAACACACTCAAACACGCACACACACACACACACACGGACAACACACTCACACACACACGCACAGAGACTCACACAGAGACTCACACACACAGACACACACTCACACAGACAGACACACACACACACACACACACTCACACAGACAGACACACACACACACACTCACACAGACAGACACTCATACACACACACTCTCAGAGGAGCTGATGTGTCAGACTGATCTTGAGTAATAATGAAATAATGATAAAATCCCTTAAATATGTGGTAAAAAAAGTTGAGTTTTATGGCGCATTTCCACTACAGCGCGGTGTAAGCGTGCCGTGCCCGACCTGTTTTTGTTTGCTTTTCCACTAGGCGTAGTTCCGGCTACCGGGTACTATTTCACCGTTTTTCTGGCTCTCCAAAATCAAGGTTCTTTCCGGGCCAACAACCGGGCTGAGTATGCTAAACTAGTGAGAGAATTGCTGGCAACTACAACAAGATGAACATATTTGACCGTGATTTAATTGTAATACACGTTTCAAAATGATGCCGAAGTAACAACATACTGATACCGGTTAGTAAAAACCATGAATTAATGCTTTGACAAGTCTGCAGACAGACGGCAGGCGAAAAACCTTTTAGAATGCGTGTTTTCTAAATGGAGATCGGCTAAGCTAACGTTGTATATGCTCCGACCGTCCACACTCACAACAACGGCCTATACAGACAACCAGCGACTGTATTCTCCATGACACAGGCAGTCTGTGGTTTGTACTTGATTAACTTTTGTCTAGTTTCTGAACAGATATGAGGAGCTGTGAGCTTGAGTGCTAACAGCTAACGGCTGATGTTGGTTTTGTGTTTCGCATTGACGATGACGTCACGGCTCCGCCTACACTGCGTTACTATAGTTACTGCCCCAGCTACTAAACTGTAATGGAAACACAGCATAAAGTGAACCAGTCCTAACGAGGCCTAGCGAGGCCTAGCCATATTGTACTAAGCCGAGCGAGGCCCTGCAGTGGAAAAGCGCCATTAGACTCACAAGACCGCTGGCTAATTAGCTCTGATGCTAAAAACAAGCCTGATTTTGTTAGCATTCAATGGCTCAAGGTTATATGCAATATCAGATCGAATGAAGAGGCAAACTTAAAACCATACAAATAATATTTAAGATCAGATTTATAATAGTGGGTTAAAGAGGAAAAAACACTTATTATGTTCATGCTGATATCAGTGAGGAAGCAGAGAGAGGAATGAATGTGGGGGAGAGAAACTCCATATGCAGGGAACACGGGGAGTTTAGCCTTTGCAGACCATTTACATGCACTAAAACCTATAAAACACACTATAGGAAAGGTAAAAGCAGAACAGGGCCCCTTTTTTAATATCTTTGGCAGGGATGGGCAACTTGGATGGTGGTGGGGGCCAAATAATTTATGTTCTGGCCACCAGGGGGCCACAGATTCACTTGGAACACACACACACACACACACACACACACACACACACACACAAATTAGTAGTAGTGGCGGCTCAAGTTGCTAACTTTCATTTCAGCAAACATACTCAACATTGTGGTTCAGTGAAAATATATTCTTTCTCCCGCTTTTCTTGGAAAACACGATTTTCCTCAGATACCTTTCTCTTGCTCATGCTGACATCCACAGAGGGCTGGGCTCATATGTGACCCGCTCTATCGAAATCAGTCGGGAGTCGCAACGGCTCATTTCAAAATAAAAGTGGATTTGTGTAAAATCAAATCAAGTTTTATTTATATAGCACATTTATAAGCGATTTTTGGTGGAGCCAAAGTGCTGTACATATAATAAAAATAGCCTACAGTAGAGACACTTTACAGCAAATACAACAGCACAGATTGTTCAGAGTATCAGTATGAGAAAAACGACACCCTCTGTCCTTAGACCCTCTATCCTTAGACCCTCTGTCCTCAGACCCTCTGTCCTCAGACCCTCTGTCCTCAGACCCTCTGTCCTCAGACCCCCTGTCCTTAGACCCTCTGTCCTTAGACCCTCACATCGTACAAGGAAAAACTTCCAGAGAAAACCCACAGTTTAAGGGGAACATGGGAGAAACCTCAGGGAGAGCAACAGAGGAGGGATCCCTCTCCCAGGACGGACAGACGTGCAATAGATGCCGTGTGTAAATCCAAGAGATACAGCATATAGACCGAATGTTAGGAAATGCATGTGTCTGTAATAAGAAGATGAATCCACGAGGATGTCAGCTACAGTCCTGTGGAAGCCATCAGGGAAGCAGCAAGACGAAAAAAACTATTTTTTCGAGGTTCGGGTGTTTTGTTTGATTTTAAATAAACAAAGTCTTGGCTTTCAGAATATTAAACTTGTTTCGGCAAATTCAGATGATAAATGCAACTTTGAAGCTTGTGACGGCATAATTACAAGCGGAGAACGGAGTAACTTGACGTCACAGCAGGCATAACAACAGCCGGTGTTTCTTGTGAGTGTTTCTCCGGGAAACAAACACAATACACACAAACGCGTCAGATTCTTTCACGGTATTTGGCTGCCGAACAAAATCACGCAGTATCAGTACTACAAGTAAAAAAAAAATTTTTTAAAAATTAATTACGCCTCACGCCCTGTCCGCCATTTGCCCATCCCTGATCTACGTTGCTGAAGTATATGTAACACCCTGTGGTTAAATGACATGTAGAAACACTGAAGGTTAACGGTATTTTTCTCTCTTTTCTCCCTCACAGCTCCCCCTCCCCCTCCCTCTCGTGGCGGCGGCCCCCCCTCCTCCTCCTCCTCCTCCTCATCATCACAACTCCTCGACTCCTCCCCCTCCCCCTCCCCCCCCGTCCAGAGGGGGTCGTGGTGCCCCTCCTCCTCCCCCTCCGTCCAGAGCCCCGGCCTCAGCTCCTCCCCCTCCGCCTCCCACCAGACCGGGAACTCTTGGAGCTCCGCCTCCTCCTCCTCCCCCCAATAGAGGAGGTCATCATCAACCCCCTCCTCCTCCCCATCACCACCACCACCATCAACAACAACAACAAACACAACAACATCAACCTCCTCCTCCCCCACCTTCCTCTCACTCCTCTTCCTCCCAACAAGCCCCGCCCCTTCCCCCTCCCCCAATGTCCCAGCAGTCTCCAGTTGGAGGTGGAAATGGTGGTTTTTCTCCATCACAACCTCCTCCTCCTCCACCTCCTCCTCCACCTCCAGGCCCTCCTCCCCCTCCAGAGTTGGACGGAGGTGTTTCGGGAGGAGGAGGAGGAGACTCCCCTAAATCCCCCGGAGAGAAGACGGCGCTTTTGGACCAGATCCGAGGAGGAACGCAGCTGAAGAAGGTGGAGCAGAACAACCGAGCGCCGGCAACTGGAGTGGGGAGGGACGCCCTGCTGGACCAGATCCGACAGGGGATGAAGCTCAAGAACGTAAGACTAACCTCCCTCATTAATATATAACGACAAAGCAATGTGTTTCCAAAATCCTTTCATACCTACATAACTAATAGAGTGGTAGCATCTCCCTGGTTCCCTGCAAAACAATCCAATAGGATTTCTCCATGTGATTTTGGAGAAAGCAGAAAATTATCTCTCTGCCAAACAAACTTTTTTGATATTCACATGTTTTGTTCAGCAGGATAATCTCTACATATAAACACCACTTTATGATTTCGGAAGTAAAAAGCTAACTTTAGGCTATAAAGGAACTACAGCACGGTCACATGTAGGGCTGAACGATATACCGTGTCATGGCGATAACCGCGGTATGCGCATGCGCGGTATTCACACCGCAGGGACGTGCGGTTTTATTCATTTAAAAAAAAAAAATGCTAACTCACTTTATTACAGAATTCAAAATAAAGATACCCTTATTACTTATCGAAACTGCACATACAATATATCCGATTAAAGCTGAGACTCCACAGATTATTTAAGTATAGTATCTAAGCGATCCGATCTCGCAACAGGGGAAGCAAACACAGACATCACAACACGTACCTTTTACGGAGCTTTTACGGGAGATCGTCTCACCGTAGCTGTCAATCTGATCAAAAGACGTGTTCAATGGCATTAAAACGAGAAAGAAAAAACGCGGCTGAATCGGTTGATCCATAGGTTGATAATGTATCTGTGGCTTTGAAGCAATTGTTTATAATCCATAATTCCATTTTTATGTAAAAATCGGAGCACAACAGTTAGCTGCTAACGGTAGCCACCAGAGTGTATGCAGCTTCCGGTTTTGGCTACGCGTCACTCTCTCTCCTTATTTGGTCATGTGTGTGTGTTAGACTGCGCTGGACTGCCGCATAGCGAAGACCGGAAGCAGCAGCCACTCTGGTGGCTACCATTAGCAGCTAACTTTTGCTCTGCGATATTTACATAAAAATGGAATTATGGATTATAAATTAAATCATTTTTTTTATACAGAGATGTTAAAAACCTATGGATTAACAGATTCAGTCGCGTTTTTTCTTTCTCGTTTTAATGCCATTGAACACGTCTTTTGATCAGATTGACAGCTACGGTGAGACATCTCCCCTAGAAGCTACGTAAAGGTACGTGTTGTGATGTCTGTGTTTGCTTCCCCTGTCCGAGTTCAGATCAATCAGTGATGATACTATATACCTAAATAATCTGTCGAACCTCAGCTTTAATCGGATATCTTGTATGTGCAGCTACGATAAGTAATAATAAGGGTACTTTTATCTTGAGTTCTGCTCCAAAGTGAGTTAGCATTTTTCGCTCAGGGGTCATTTAGATGCTTCTTATGAGACTTGTGCTTTGTTTTGGTAAAAATGGTTTGTATCGTCAGTTAGCTGAGATTATTTCCGTTAATCTGGTGTAACACATTAAAAGGTTCTTAAATATTACGATCCCCTGAGACACTGTCGTGAAAAAAAAAAGTAAAGTACCCATCGGGACTTTGGGGTTTAATAGATTAAAAAAACCGCAATATATACCGCAGGGGGGGAAAAATCGCGATGTCAGTTTTTTTCAATACCGTGCAGCCCTAGTCACATGACTTCACGACACCACCGCTAAGCTAAAGGTGGCTAATGTTGGGCTATAAAGGAACTACAGCACGGTCACAGGACTTCACGTCACCACCGCTAAGCTAAAGGCGGCTAATGTTGGGCTATAAAGGAACTACAGCACAGTCACATGACTTCACGTCACCACCGCTAATCTAAAGGCGGCTAATGTTGGGCTATAAAGGAACTACAGCACGGTCACATGACTTCACGTCACCACCGCTAATCTAAAGGAGGCTAATGTTGGGCTATAAAGGAACTACAGCACAGTCACATGACTTCACGTCACCACCGCTAAGCTAAAGGCGGCTAATGTTGGGCTATAAAGGAACTACAGCACAGTCACATGACTTCACGTCACCACCGCTAAGCTAAAGGAGGCTAATGTTGGGCTATAAAGGAACTACAGCATGGTCACATGACTTCACGTCACCACCGCTAAGCTAAAGGCGGCTAATGTTGGGCTATAAAGGAACTACAGCACGGTCACATGACTTCACGTCACTACCGCTAAGCTAAAGGCGGCTAATGTTGGGCTATAAAGGAACTACAGCATGGTCACATGACTTCAAAGGCCTGTAAAATACAAACGTCATAGCATACAAATTATCAAAACATTATACAACAACATAAGTATTGCCATATGATAAAAGCATGTGACAGAAGTGATGCTAATGTAGATGGGTACTAGGTGGTGGAAATTAGTTGACAAGAAAAACAGATGAAATTTACTGACATAATTTCAGGGGTCTAACCAAAAACACTTTCAAAACCCCAATAGGCGCGTTCACACCAAAAAGAGCCGGAACTAAAATTAGTTCATGAGAAACTTTTCACCCACTTTTCAGTCCCTGCTAGAGAGCAGGGACTTTCGTGGGAGAAAAAGGTTCCTATTTCTGATTGGCTGGACGGATTGCAAACCACGCCCCGTAAAACTCCCAAAAGGTTTTGTGAAGCCGCCATTTTATTATCCTCGCATTAGCATTATTAGCATTAGCATTAGCCCAGCGCAGAAACGCAGAGAGACTAACTTATGGCAACACAAAAGAAAACATGGGAGCGGTGGAGATGAGGAGGTGTCGGTGTTCTGGCGATTTACTCGGAAGGGGACTTCGGGCGGCAGTATACGCCGTGAAGTGGTTTGCGGCCTGCCAGTAAATCCAAAGCAGAAGAAGAAAAATTGACGTCAGCGGCTTCATTTGCCTAATCATCCCCCAGGGACTTATTCCGGTGTGAATGCGATCTGTACATTTCATGAGAACTAAAGAGTTCTCATGAACTAAGTTCTGATGAACCTTCGTGTGAAAAGTACTGCGATGTGAAAGCGCCTATTGCCTTCCAGACGTCAGGGAGTGTTAAAATGCTCAATTACAGTGTTTTTACAACTCATTCTGCACCACTTTATTACGTTTATGACTCAGAAATATTGGAGTTTATGATTCAGTGTCCAGTTGAAAATGCACGGATGTTTAATCACCTTTTTTGTACTGCTTTTCTAGTGGCCCCAGGTCAAAGTCTGTTGGCAGTGAAATGTTTATATTATGTTATTTGACTTATTGTGAGTTTCCAGGATAAGTGAAGTTTTCTGCTTCTGATGTGATATCCCGTGATCAAAGGAGCCTCAGATTGTTCCTGTGATAAACGTCTCTGGTTCTTTGTGTGTCTGCAGGTTCCCGATCAGCCCGAGTCCGGCCCTCTGTCAGCGGCTCCCAGCGCCGGCATCGTGGGCGCTCTGATGGAGGTGATGCAGAAGAGGAGCAAAGCCATCCATTCCTCAGGTACAAGCTTTGGCTGTCAGGTTTTAGAGTCAGAACTATGGATTCAATGTCAGAATTCTGAGAAAATAAAAATATGACTTTTTTTTTTCCTGAGAATTCTGAGTTTAATCTATGAACTCAAAACATTCACTTTTGTTCAGATCTAAAACTAAATGTCCTCCTCTCTAGCATGTTATCACTAAGTCCATGGTTCTGATTGGGCTGTAGACCTTTGCCAAAATACACCACCTGATAATTCAGGAACTTATAAGTTATACAGAAACAACATTCTAAGTGTAAACAACAATGGACCAATCAGCACAATGACTACTTTTACTTTTGGTACTTTAACTATATTTTTACTGAGTACTTCTACTTTTACTCAAGAACAAGATCTGAGTACTTCTACTTTTACTCAAGTACAAGATCTGAGTACTTCTACTTTTACTCAAGTACAAGATCTGAGTACTTCTACTTTTACTCAAGTACAAGATCTGAGTACTTCTACTTTTACTAAAGTACAAGATCTGAGTACTTCTACTTTTACTATAAAGTACAAGATCTGAGTACTTCTTAAGTTCTTGCTTCTCCGGGCAAGAGACGTAGTATGAAATGTATTCCCTGTATTTCCACGCCCTTTAACACCGTGTTGTTTCCCCAGACGAAGACGAGGATGACGACGAAGACGAGGACTTTGAAGACGACGACGAGTGGGACGACTAGTGAAGAAATATGTCCTCTGCACCGACCGCTGACACTAAAATATCTTCTAAAAAACCCTTCCAGCATCAGACTAAAACTGTAATGTAAATGTTGTAAGAATTGGCTGTCTATTTATTTTTTTGCCTTTTTTGCTCTTTTTATTTTAACGATTATAAGAATGAATCTGTGCAATACCTCATCTGTTAGATCTGTCACACATTCCCATCGTTAAAGACTCCTTAGAAAGCACTAAACGCCGCCATCAGCACATTTCATTATCGACGCTAAACCCTCGCTGCTCCCTGACAGCAGTCTGAACCGAGGCTTCATCGCTCCTTGGGAAATATTGTTTTTCTTGTTTCCATTCCTCTTCTGAGAAACTGAAAAGGAGACGAGCAAACAGGCAGGATCCTCTTTGTGTTAGAATGCTAGATAACACTATTTTCTTACCGTGCTTCTTCTGTCGCGTCTCCTAATGAAGTTTAGTTTAGTCGTGTTCTTTTTTCATGAATCCTTTTTTGACCAAAATGGCTCAGTCGCCTCACGTGTTTTTTTAATGAAGTTAAAGCCGTTTATTTGCACACAGTTTATATGATAGCTCAGTGTTGTGTGTTTTTTTAAGTGTGTGTTGAGTTTATTTGTATTTAGTTTCAAGCAGGTTACAGTGAAGATGGACATTTTTTAAAAAGGTTTTGCGATATCGTGACCTTGTTCAAATGGGACTACAAACATTTTCTTTGGCTTGATACAAAAACATGTCTACACACACACACACACATTTTGTGAAATGATGGAAGTTTTGTTCTTATGGTCTGGTTGGTTGTTTTTGTTGTGGCATCTTTCCGTTATTTCCTGCAGGAGGAAACATCTCCAGCGCTCTGGTCCCTATTTCAAATATCCCGTCATGCAGAGAAAAAAAAGATGGATATAATTCATCCTCTTCCTTCCAGTTAACAAACTATCATTTTATGCAATGCGACTGTACATGCCTCCTCATGGAGAATCATTAAAAAAAAAAAGCAAATAATAAATAAACCAAATGTGGCATTTGCAAGCAGCTTGTGGTTCGGCGATGCCTGAGATCCCTTTGTGTGTCAACGGAAAAAAGAAATAGCCGACGCTCGTTTTAACTGTTCGAGTTTTTAACGTCCTCCAGCGAGGCTGAAAGCTGCATCGAAAGCTGAGATACTGACAGTGAGCCTGTGAAAAGGGTTGGGAGGGGGGAGGGCAATGAAAATACTAAATTCTATACTTAAATAAATGTTAATATTTACAGAGAAATGTGTGTCTTGTTATTTGTTAAAGTGGTTCTACTTCAGAGGGGATGAAGTCCAGTTTGGTGCTAAAATCAACATTCATTTTGTTTCTGTAAAGAGACATTTTATACAGGTATCGACCCAGAACTGGCCCCATTAAAGCCAGCGTTAATTATTTTCAATGTGTGTAGGCTGATTAAAACCATTAGGAACAGTAGGTAGTTGCAGGGAAGCTTCATAGAGACTTAACACAACATGACTACAGGCCTAGTTGAATACTCGATGCCGATTGGTCAATTTGGAACATTCTGTGGTCTGCTCTTTATCACTAGTAGACCAGACGTCCTTGAGTACGTCTTTTTCCGTCGTTTGCTGGGAACAGATCCTCTGACAATAATAGTTTGTGGGAGATTGTATCCTTTGCAACAAAAACCTAATATACATCGCAGGGAAGGCAAAACCCAAAAATCATAATAGGGTCTCTGAAGTTTGTGATTTCAAAATGAGCTTAAAACAGGCAAAAAACGCATTAAAGACAATCTAGGTACCATCACTAGTTACACTTAGATTTCATTGTGCTCCTTTGTTCCTGTAAACTGTTTCAGCAGACTGTCCAGTTATTATACACAGTGACATTATCATACACTACCTAGCATCTCAGATTCAAAAGGGTATCTGAGTTCTCTGAGAATAGCTGATGGGGTTTTGAATCAGAGTTTGTCACAAACACATGAACTGCTTTTTTCCCAAATAAATACAATAAAGTTTCATCAGAATGTATTTTTATTTTAAAAAAAGAAGATATATTTCAAAAACTTGTGTTTTTCATAAAATGCTGTTTTGCTAAATATTCATATAAACAAGGATAAGACAAATACTGTTGTCTCTGAAACAGACATTCAAAGTACAAACGCTTGTATGTCGTACGTCGGATTTGACAGTCCTGAAGGCAGTTGATTTCAAAGATTTTAAGAGATCATTTGAATCATCGCAGTTGATTGGTTTCATGTTGTTTGTAACAATGTGACCATCAAAGACATTTTTGAAAGAAAAGGAAATAATATTTTTTAAATAAAAATCTGGTATAACAATGTATAGAGGGGGCATCCCCCAGAAGACACACATTTATCACATGAAATTATAGCGAACCCCGTGTGAAACATCAAAGGGTTGTTCTACTCAGTTTGATTGACAGGAGAGATGATCAGAGGGGCAGAGTTTTCACCACCATTGTTGTTACAGGGACCAAAGTATGGGTAGAGTTTCTCTTTGAAGCAGCAGCCAGTGAAGGAGTAGATCAGAGCTGCAGCATCAACATCATAAAAGGAGACCAGACCCTCCTCATAATCCACAAACACCCCCACCTTCTGAGGCTGAGACTTCAGAGAGAGACGGACTGAAGGACCAGCAAAAGCTTTGTACTCATTTTCATTCCTCAACACTATCGTCCAGTAACCTTTCTGAGGAGATGATGTGATCGGTCCCTTCCTGTTGATCGACTCTCTGGCCACTCCTAGAGTCCATTCAGTTTTCCCTTCAACCTGAACCTCATAATAAAATCTTCCTGAAGAGAAACTCTGCTTTGCTAAGACACAAGCACAATAATCAAATCTCTCTGGATTGTTTGGGAGATTCTTCCTCACATCCCCATCTTTCACTTGTTTTCCATCATCAGACAGGATGAGTGCAGGATGTGCTGTATCAGAATCAAGAGTCACCTCCACCTCATACTGCTGGACCCTCTTCAGCTCCACCTCAAGCAGCTTCTTCATCTGTTTACTGAGCGTCTCCTCCAGCTGAGTCACAGCTCTCCTCACAGTCCCCTCATATGAAGGTGGACGGACCCTGACTTCTGCCCAGTTCTTGGTGGGTGGAGCAGCGTTCAGTGACGTGAAGCTTTGGAGGAGGTGGAGCTGGTCTTCAGAGCGTGAGAGCTGCTCCACCTCAGAGCTTCTCTTCTTCAGCTCAGAGACTTCCTGTTCCAGCTCTTTGATGAAGCCTTCAGCCTGTACCTCTGTCTCTCTCTGCTTCTCTTTGATGGTGTCGATGAGCTCGGCCTGGCTTCTCTCAACAGACTCCTTCAGAGTGGTGAAGACCTGAACACCATCTGCTATCTCTCTGTCTGCTCCTTCCTTACTGAGCTCCACTGAGCGATTCATCTCCTGGATCTTCAGTCGTCTCTTCTGGATCATCTGCTGAATTTCAGCCTCTGTCTTCCCCAGCTCAGCCTTCTTTCCTTCATATCCTTCTTTCAGAGGAACAACATCATGTGTCTTGTGGTCTGAAACAGTGCAGAGCATGCAGACACACACCTGGTCGGTCTTACAGAACAGCTCCAGCAGTTTATCGTGCTTCACACACATCCTGCTTTCCAGGTTCTCCTCAGGGTCGATCAGCTGATGTTTCTTCAGGCCTGCTCTTGTCAGGTGAGGCTCCAGGTGAGTCTCACAGTAGGACTCCAGACACACCAGGCAGGACTTCAGGGCCTTCAGTCTGGTTCCAGTGCAGGCGTCACAGGGAACTTCTCCTGGTTTGACAACGTGTTGCTCTGAGCTGCTGCTGCTGGCTTTCTGTTGAGCTGACTGTCTGAACTGAGCAGCCATCTCAGAGATGAAAGTGTTGACCCGCAGCTCAGGCTTTATGTTGAAAACTTCTTTACAGTTGGGACACTGACTCGGGACATCAATATCCCAGTGTTGAGAGATGCAGGCTTTACAGAAGTTGTGTCCACATGGTGTGCTGACTGGATCAGTGAACACATCCAGACAGATGGAGCACAGAAACTGATCTTCAGTCAGCAGACAGCTGGCAGCAGACATGTCTTCTCTCTGGGGACGGAGCAAGTGAAAAAACCAAACCATGGTTATTCTTTTTAATGATTATTTGTCAAACTACAAAATATGTTGTGAATGCTCATTGTTTCAAAGCTGACAGTTGCAAACAAAAACAATCAAACAAACATAAAGAGATAACCTTTAAAAGTATAATACATAATTATAATAAGACTTAATTTACGAAGCTCTGTAGATGAGATGATCCACAAAGCCACCCAGAATCAAAACATATTGAGAAACCCTTAAGCACCATATTAAGCGTGTGCGTCGTGTGTGTTTTTATGTCCGTTCGCGAAGGGATGCATGTCGGTGAGTGGGAGGCGTCTCTTTTGTCATTGTTATGTTTAAATTTGATATAATATGTTTCATTTAATTTTGTATTGTTAATTCTTTATTCCACTTTTCAAGTATTTGTATTTCAATATCTGAACGCTGCTTCTGTAATGAAATAATTTCCCAAATTTGGATAAATAAAGTCTATATTTATATAGATATAGACCATCCATTAATTGGTGTTAGTAGTAATTTTTGGAGCAAGTACATTTTTGGTGTCATGTTGAAATCTTGAATGTAATCTAATTAAACCCCTACTCATCCAGTAAACAGAACATAATACCAATAATACATATTATAATAACGCTGAATTAAACACAAATATTATAATTTACTGTGATAATATACCTCTGTTAAACATTTGCCCTGAGAGGAACTTCCTGTCTGAATAGAGCTGAGGGTTTGAGTTTACACCGGATGTTGAACCACAGGAAATATCTTTTCAAAGACAGACAGCAGTAACTAGAGAGAAGTTGAGAGGAAAGGGTTATAAGTTAACGGCTGCTGACCCAAGTGTATAACAGTTAAATAGGTTGTACAATCTAAATATCGTGCTTTTACAGACTATACAAAAAGAGACCTCCCAAACAATCTGAGCTAGGCTAGTTAGCTGTTAGCAGGCCTGGGATAACTGCTGTTAGTGTTCTTTGTCTCGTGTTTAGTGAGGCGTTGTGTCTCTGTAGTGCACTCACCAGTGTTTCAGAGGTTCTGCTGTTGTTGAGAAGAAGCTGCTGGATTCAGTTGTTTCTTCAGAGAAACAGAGACGCTGTCTGGACCGCAGCTCTGCTCTCACTAACTTTCACTTTCGTTTCTGTGAAGTTGAAGCTCTCCTGTTTCAGTGTTGCTCCTCCTCAGAGTGTAGCTCTGTGAGTGAGGGTGTGTCACTCTCTGGGGAGGACATTAACTCAGCTTTGTAACAAGAGGAGGTTTGACATTATGTTTACCATGTTTTTGTTATAAAGGAGAACAAGTTAAGATGGAAAACTTTTGTCACAAATAGGCCTCACTGTGATTTTGAGGTTTTACAATAAAACACCTCTTTAAAATAACTAAACGCAGATCAATAGAGGTCAGTAAATTAAGTAAAAGTGTCTCAATCAGAGTAGCAGGTCTAAATTACCTTCCACCACTTGAGTATCAATAGTGTCTGAGAAAACACATGATAATGTACATATACTGTGCACATAAAGGATGAATTATCATCACTTTTATTTTCATTCATGACTTTGTAAATCTCAAGTTTGAACATTTAGGAAACAAGCCTGGTTTATTCCACCGATGTTTGCATGCAATTCGTTTTATTATAAGTTCAATGATACAGTTATTTATGAAAAGCGTGCATCAGGCTGCAGTGGGTTAGTTCCTCCACAAGAGGGCGGCCTCAGCTCTCTCATTTTCTACAGACTGGTTTTGGGTTCATATCATCTTCTCAAACACAACTAAACTGCACATCTTTACTTTCATCCATTTGGGTACCATATCACTTCCACAAGACCTTCACATCATGCACTTTCTAAACGCTTTGACCAACTTCTGCAGGTCCATATTAAGATAAGATGGACCTGTATTCATCCCTGTGGGGAAACTCAGTAGGTAACAAGGTAACATTGATCAAAGATAACAATTAAAAATGATAAAATAACTATAAAATAAGAAATGAATTAAAATGAACATATTTACATATTTGAACATGTGTACATATTATTGCACATACATGTGCGTGAAAACCGTGTGTATTTTATGTCCAGTAATTGTGCCATTGTAGAACTTTTTATATATAATTGGTATACTATTTTTTGCATACTTTTATTATACATTAGTCCTTGGTTTTTCTCAGATAGATAGATGGATAGACTTGTTTACAGTAGAGTAGTTTACAGATGTGTTATATTATTAAACAGCTGCTTAAAATGGACACTGGAATTCTTGAAGCTTTTAGGCAAAAAAACAAGACAAAATTAACAAAGTAACCGCAGCTCCGAAATTATAAATATTTTCAAGATCAATTGCAATTGTTCCTGTATATCCACTCAAACGTAAATCAAAATATGCCATCATTACTTTTAGAAATGATCATAAAAATGACATTAATCTAAAGAAACCCTAGTATAACTGTTGAATAATCTGCTTTAAACACAAAAACACAAACAATTATAACAGGCCTACTCTCTTTATTTGCTTTAGTTTAGTAGATATCTACAAACAAAGAGTCGATATTTTTCTAAGACCATTTAGTGCTTCACATAAAATACACAACGGCTGTAGCCTGATTTAGGTGCTTTAGGAGCTGTAAATGGTAAATGGACTGTACTTATATAGCGCTTTATCCAGTCTTTACGACCCCTCAAAGCGCTTTACATACTACATGTCATTCACCCATTCACACCCATTCATACAGAGCAGTACCACTTGCTCTAGGACCTAACATTTACACACATTCACACACCGTTGGCCATGCCATCGGGAGCAACTCAGGGTTAAGTATCTTGCCCAAGGATACATCGACATGTTGGCTGCACGGGCTGGGATCGAACCCACAACCTTCTGGTTGAAAGACGACCGCACTCCCTCGCAGCCACAATCGCCCTAGGTGTGTGTTGTACAGTGTGTAGGTGTGTGTGGTACAGTGTGTGTGTGTGTGTGTGGGTGCGTACCCATAATAAATGTTACCATAGTACTCGTACCATGGTTTATTTACCATGGTCTTTTTGACAGATAGTACATACCATGGTATAAACCATGGTATGTACTATAGTACATTACTATATGTGCTATGGAACAAATACCATGGTCCTATAAAATATACCATGGTACTATCTGTCAAAAAATACTGTGGTACATGTACCATGGTACTATGATACGAGTACTATGTTAACATTTCTTATGGCTGTTGGAGGGCTACCCACTACCCCTGGCACCATAACAATTACCATGGTAAATACATATGTTCTTGTCATACCTACTGTACTAAACTGTAGATACTGTAGAATGTACAATGGTAGGCTATATCAAATAAAATAATTGACTGAGGCAAATAAAAATAATACATGGACTCAACATGTATTAACATTTTTAATTTATACTACAGAACAAATAAAAAACATAATGGCCTAATGACAAAGACAGACAGACAGACAGACAGACAGACAGACAGACAGACAGACAGACAGACAGACAGACAGACAGACAGACAAACAGACAGACAGACAGACAGACAGACAGACAGACAGACAGACAGACAGACAGGCAGACAGGTAGACAGTCAGGTAGAGACGCATGAGAAAGGTAGACAGAATTATAGACTGGAAGACAAACAAACTATGAAGAGTTAAGGGCAACACTTACCAAAATACCTGCTCACCGTAACAATGTATTAAGTGTTTACTGTATATAGTGGCATATTCAGTGTTTTGCTACACCACACAGTGCAGCTGGCATGTGTTGTCCTTTACAGACGGCTCAAAACTGACTGCCACAATAATTACTTACAAACAATCTTTTTGAGTTCAGCAGAAGGAAGTGATGGTCGTGTCTCCCCCCTGCTTGATGACCCAAGCCCAGTCACGCTGTGAGCAGCCATAAAACGTGTGGTGTACAGACCCTGCATCAGATTGTTGGTGTACTTGGCTGCTGAGGTCTTGTTGCACAGATCTTTAATGGCTTGTTGAATATCCTAAGAACATCAAATAAGTAACACACCGTGTCATATTATCAGGACAAGATTTGAAATAGCACTGTTGACTATCTAAGACAACAATTAAAATCATCCAAATCAACATACAGTACTTGATAGTATACTTATTAGACAATATGAAACTTACCAGACAGACAGCATTGGTGGAAATCACACCATCCTCCAAAGGCAGATGTGTTGTGGAAGACTGCATATTTAAAAAACACACAATAATTGTGTTACTAATAAGAAACGATAGAGAATATACATATACATACAGACAGGGTAGACACACAGACGGGGCAACGTGGTCTCATCGGCTTAACGTGGACTAAAAGGGAGTGGCTATATACAGGACCGTCCTGTACACAACGCCAAATGGCTATATACAGGACCGTCCTGTACACAACGCCAAATGGCTATATACAGGACGGTCCTGTATATAGCCATTTGGCGTTGTGTACAGGACCGTCCTGTATATAGCCATTTCAGAGACCTTATATACAGGACCGTCCTGTATATAGCCATTTCAGAGACCTTATATACAGGACCGTCCTGTATATAGCCATTTCAGGGCTTCTGTGCAGGACCGTCCTGTATATAGCCATTTCAGAGAGCTGTGTACAGGACGGTCCTGTATATAGCTTCGGCCGGACTAAAATGGTTAACAAGAAACAATGCCATGGCAAAAAGAAATATAAATATGGGGAAATATAAATAAATGTTATGAGTTCTAATTTGGATATTTAAACAATTATGTTTAGGTAATGATTGCACTTCCATCAATTAGTGATCAGTTAAATCAATAATCATCTACTTGATGTATAACCAAGAACAATACTAATAACAATATATAATAGCTGTAATTCATGTGATTAAACAACAACCTATAATGTACCTGCAAACTTGGTCCAGCAGTTGAGGTGTGCGCCGTAGATGTTCCTTTTCTCTCTTTAATTGAGTGTGTTCATGAAATAAACAAAGTTAAAAAAATTACAACACAAAGCTGATTTAAAGACATAGCAGATGTAAACAAGTAACAAAACATACCACGGTCTGAGTGTTGCTCAGTGAGCTGCTCCATTGAGGAAATCATCCTAGGGAGACCTAAAAATACAGTGATTATTAGCAATTTCTCTCATTGACTCAAGATAAGAAGTCTACAGCCAAATTACAGGGGGTAGAATTTACCATCTCAGTTTGGTGTATTGGCATGCTAATATTAGCTAACTAGCACTAAACAAAGGCCCTTTCTCATTTCATCAATTTCCCCTCCTCGACTCCTCGACTCCTCGGTACTCCGGTATTGACCCGGAAATGAATTTCAGCGCGCCATGTTGAAGGACATCTCATTTCTCTAAATGCACTTCGAGGACCGAGGATCGAGCGTCGAGGAGGCTCTCTGGAGGAGCTCTAACCGAGGATACACTGATGGGTCCTCCGCGGCTCCTCCACGGATGCATTTCCGGGAACAGAGATGTTTCAAAGAGTCGTGACGCACGGCCGGACTTATCTCAGCCAATGACAGCTCTGCATGCATCCCCTGGATATTATTTTATTAACTGCTTTCATCGCGACGCGATGTTTACAGTGAGAACAGCTGTGAGGTCTGTGCAGAAAGCAGAGCAGTGTGTATAATATATATCACTCAGTATAACAGGCCTACTCTCTTTATTTGCTTTAGTTTAGTAGATATCTACAAAGAGTCGATATTTTTCTAAAACCATTTAGTGCTTCACATAATAAAATACACAACGGCTGTAGCCTGTTTTAGGAGCTGTAGGTGCGTGTGTGTGGTACAGTGCGTGTGTGTGGTGTAGGTGTGTGTGGTACAGTGTGTGCGTATGCAGCGGACAGACAGGTCTCAGTTGGTTTGGTGTCCTCTGCTTACTTTTAATACTTGCAAATAAAACTTTTGGCCCATAATTTATTTCCCTCATTGTAGCAACCAGAGAGGGGAGAGGGGTGGGGGGGGGATATATCCAGTCTCTGATAGTGTTACGTTATTATGAGAGTGCTTGATTCTGAAATTGTATATATTTATATAAATATATACGTGTGTGTGTCCGCATCTGTAGCCTGTTATTGTCTCATTATACCGCACTGTGAATGAATCAAAGTAAATATAGAAGTGGTCATGAACACATCTGTCCATCAGACAGAGGGCT